TCACTTCCTAAAAGTATACCTGGAGGAGGGCAGCGAGGGAAGAAACAAAAGAGGTGGCTGCAAAGACCTACCAGTCCCTGAAATTCCTCCAGGTTAGGGAAAATGGAAGTATTCTCCTTGGAAATGAAATGAGCTTTCTCAGAGACTGGGCCTGGATGGATGGATGGCATATTTTCACTGACTAGTGAAGGTTGAAAGAATATAGATGAGCTCCAGGGTGAGAGCTCTGAGTCACCTGGATGCTTTTGAAATTCCTCTGAATGTAAAACAGGCCTTGGAAGAGCTGTGGTTTGGCTTGTTCACTGGCCTGGCTGGACAGGAATGTTTCCTGGCACTAAGTACGGGTGCCCATAGCTCCCCTGCCAAGACCTTCCATGAACTCTTGGTGAAGGAATCATGGAACAGTTTGACTGGAAGAGACCTCAAAGCCCATCTCATTCCACTCATGGGCAGGGACACCTTTCACTATTCCAGGTTGCTCCAAGCCCATCTTACTTGTCCTTGGACACTTCCAGGGATGGTGCAGCCACAGCTTCTCTAGGAAACCTGGAATGGGGAAAAGCCACCTCAGATATGTCCTGCTCCAGCACCCAGCTGGCTGAGGGCATCAAGAGTTCCCAGGCTTACCATGACCTAGTCCTAGCTGGCCCCGTGCCTGTGGCCCTTGGCAGAACTGGAGAGAAGGGGAAAGAGTGCCGCAACCTCAGGAAGAGCCTGAGCTCAGGCAGGAGCCTGGAAAAGAGAAGTCCAGGGGGGAAGCTTCCCCCTTTCCCCTCCACATCTCCCTGCACATCTCCCTCACTTCCTGCCTTGCAGGCACTGCAGTCCAGGGCTGAGGGATGTTCCTGCCATCCCTGAGCTGCTTTATCTCATTCCAGACAGGGCACTCTGAACCACCAGACAATGCCAGTGCTGTCCACAGAGCCATCTCCTGACACTGCTTTTACCCTGGGCTCTCCCCCTGCTGTGCTCCAGCCTCCTTCCCCTCATTCCCTAGAGAGTTCCAGGCGTTCTGATCTACCTCCCATGGCTCTGCAGCCTCACAGGTGTGCATTCCAAACCTTCAGCAACACCAAAGGCAGCTCTCCCTGGTGAGATGCTCCTTGGGATGCTGCAGGGTGGGAAGGGCAGGGCTAGGAGGACACCCCAGTGCTGAGGCCCAGGCACAGAGGGTGGAGGTCCTGGCTGTGGACAGAGAGACTCCAACATGAGGGCTCCTGTAAACATCAGATTCCTGCAGATATTTCCTTCCTGGCACGTTTCAAAGTGCTTGGGGTGAGGTCACAAGGTGAGGACCCCCAGGGACATTCCAAGATAGGCTTGGGCTGCATCCACACATTCGGAATCCCCAGCCAAGGGTTGTTTGGCACATCCCAAGCACAGCAGCTCCTTTTGCTATGGCCCTTTCCAAAAGGCCCAAAACACAGACCAGAGACAGGGCCCCCAGGGCAGCAGAGCCTGGTGCTGAAGAATCTGCATCCCCCCAAAAAAATCCCCTCCAGCGCCATCCTCCCCAAACATCCCTCTGGCACCATCCCTCCAAAACATCCCTCCAGCACTGTCTCGTTCAGCATCCTGCCTCCACCAGGATACTGAGGGGCCAGTTCCTGCCAGACACCCCCAGCTGGCTGCTTCCCCTCCCTTTGAACTCGCTTCATTTTCCCCAAGCACGGCTGTGAGAGGGAAGTTTGGACTGGGCTGAGGGACCCCGCTGTTCCCGGATAGGGGGGATCACAGGCTGGGGGTCCTGCCCGGCTGCCGGGCAGGGAGGAAGGATGTGAGAGGGGAGGGGGAGTTTTCCACCAGCAAATCTATTTTAGGTGGTTTCCAGCTGTTCCTGTGGGGGCTGGAAAGTGGGGAACCCTCTGCCCTAGCCTGCTCAGCACAAGTGATGCTCCTGCATCCCCCAAAATCAAGGAAAGGCCTCTAGTGGGGGAGGCAGCATCACTCGGGGCCCAGCAGCCAGGAGGGATCATACCCTGGGTTGGAGCAAATGGAGAGGGTTTGGTGAGATATCCCAGTCCCTTGACCATGCTGGGTAAAGAAGGAAGAGCAGGAGGTGCCAACTCAAATCCAAGCAAGACCTCTCTTCATCTGATAAAATCTGCCTCCACCTTGCAGGAGTGGCTCTGTGCTTCTGTGTCCATGAGAAGTGGCCACTGGAGCCATGCTTTTGCATCTCCCACTGCCATGTAGAGACACCCCAAATGTCTCAGGGTACCATTTCTTCCAGGAGAAACCAACCCCTGGAGCCACCAAGTTTCCAAACTCTCAGCCTAAGGACCAGGGTGTCCATGGGGAGCCTGGAGCTGGAACCAGGTTGCCATGCACCATGTTCCTCATTCCCTGCCATTCTTCCCTGTGAGGAAGGCACAGGTTGTCCAGAGAAGCTGTGGCTGCCCCATCCCTGAAAGAGTCCAAGGCCAGGCTGGAAGGGGCTTGGAGCAACCTTGGGTAGTAGAAGGTGTCACAGCCCATGGCAGAGTAAGGTCTCTTCACACACAAACCTGTCAGGGATTCTGTGATTTCCCTCTCCTTGAGCCTCGGCAGCGCCAGGGCTGCCTGTGGCAGGGGGGCAGGGCTGGAATACTGGGGATGCCCACAAGACCCCCTCAGCCTCATGCGGGTCACACTGGTGAGGATCCACCCTGTGCCAGGCTTGTCTGAGGAATCCCCTTGGCACAGGAATGGGCTGCAGTGAGCACACTGTCCATGCCTCTCTGGAGGGGATGTCCCTGCTCAGTGTCCTGGCTGCTCCAGGGATGAGCCTGAGGCAGATATTACCCACCTGCCTCCCCACCTGCCTGCAAATCTCTGCTCAGGTCTGGCTGCCATCATTGCCTGCAGCCCTCCAGGAACGCTTGGAGCTCTCCCAGAGCTCTCCCAGGCACAGTGGCCACACGTGTTTCCCCAGGCCCCTGAGTCCTGCCAGGTGCTCCAGGCTCTCAGCACCCAGTTCACCATTGTTGGGTTCAGTGTCACAGTCAGGAATGACATCACAAGAGTCATGAGCACTGCACAGATGCTGTCACTGTCATCCTTAGCATCCTGCAACAGACTGGGAGAAACTCGAGGCATTTCAGATCCAGGAAATATTCCTTAGTCGTGTTTCCTGTTGTGTGTGCTATATACAGGGCACTACATCTCCTAAAGTCTCCACAAGTTACAACTTCCAGGAATTCATGAAGTTGTAGGATCTTTAAGTTTGGGAAAGACCTCTGAGATACTTGAGTGCATCTATTAAGTTGATGAGTTTACAAAGCTTTTCAGTATTAAAATAGGCTCTGAAAAGACAGAAGAAAATCTCCTGCTGCTGAGTGCTTGGGCACACAATGGGATCACAAAATTCAGGGTGGAAATTACATAAGAAAAACCCACCCAAACTATGTACAGCATAATATTAATATTGATATTGCTCCCAGGAAAGCTCCTGGGATGAGGGCAGGAATGTCCCCTGAAAGGCCCATCTGATGCTCAGAGGCAGACAAGGTGTTAAAAATGGACTGGTTTGTTAGGAAAATGCCTGACAGGCTGTGCTGCTCCTGTGGAGCTGCAGAACTCCCACACCAGAGCCTTCCCCACAGGCAGGGGATGTGTGAAGCCCAAAAAAGCTCCAAGAGCAGTAGGAATCACTCTGGTGACAGTGGCGGGCTGGGAGACAGTGATTGGGAAAATCACACCTAGGAAGGAAGTCAGAAACAGTCTGTGAAAATCATGTGTGGCAGGGAGGGGGTGGGCAGGGAATGTGGATTTATCCTGCGCCCTCTGCTCTGTCTTACACTCCTTCTGCCAGCAGCCTCTGCTGCAGGTGGCTGTGGGAAAAGCCCGAAAGAACACATCTCTGGCCTGATCCCATGGATCTGGGAACACTGAGCACTCTAGAGCAGCCAGGTGATCCCCAGCACCTGGGGTGCCTCTGTCCCTGTCTCCCTGTATGGGAAGGCAATTCCTGCCCCAGGAAGGGTCCTACACCTGTTGGGGTCTGGGCAGCACCAACACAAGGGGGTTGGTGCCTTTCTGGGGTGTTTGTGCTGATGCAGGGTCTGGGACCCCTCCTGCGAACTGTCTCAGCTGCGAAGGGGTAATGGGGTGACACGGGTGCTCAGCTGGGCTGGGCTGTTTTCCAGCAATGCTCCCACCTCTGGCACCTTGCAGGGCCGATGAGGCTGGCAAAAGCATCCCCACAGAGTGAGGGGGACTCACAGCAAGGGGCTGAGCCTGGCTCTGCTCGGGGGCACCGAGGTCGGGTGTCACGTCCCCTTCTAGCCCCGCTCAGAGCCCTCGGTCCCACCGTGGCACCCCAGAAATGCTTCCCCAGCCCAGCACGGCCCTGATGGGAAGGGAGTGGGGTATAAAGAGTTAACTATCTCCTCCTGGAGCGGCAGAGTTCGAATAAAGTGCTCAAATAAAGTGTCTCCCTCCTTTATGCCAGGAGGCACTTGCTCTGGGCTTGGAATGGCAACAGATACAGAAGGGGCAAAAAGGGGAAAGGAGTTATTTGCAGGGCGCCTCATAGCAGGAGTCTCTCCTGGGTGAGGCTGCCCCATGAAACGTGCCAGGCTGTCACCTCTGGTTCCTCAAACTCCCAAAGCTGTGTCCCACAGCAAGCCACCCCCCTGCTCCCCATGGCAAGGGGAAAGCTGGGGTGAAAGCCAAACCTGTCATCCACTTTCCTCCTGGAACACCCAGATGGGGCTGTCCCATGTGTGGGGACATACTTTGTCCTGGCCATGGGCATCCCATGGCTGTCCCTCACTGCCAGCTAGCTGCCACAATGTGATCTCTGCCTGCACACCCAGCACCCCCTGAGCCCCCAAAAGAAGCTGCTGGAGGGTCCAGGACACCCACCTCCACACCCCCTTAACTGCTGCTGCAGCCAGATGTGTCTGGGATGGCAGCATAGAGGAAAATCCTTTCTCCCAGTGTTTCTCCAAGAATTTGAGGTTTCCTCACTCCCTCTTAACCTCCACAGCAGAGCTGATTCTGATACCTTTTCCTACCTGACAGGGATCTTCACCCGCAGGTACCGATCCACAGCGATGGCCAGAAGCGCCAGGATGGAGCTCTCCGTGAGGATGAGGACGGGACAGGCCACCATGAGGCAGGTGTAAAACTCCGTCTGGGGTCCGATGTTGATGATGATGGCTAGAGGGATGACCAGAGCCCCCACGGCCACGTCGGCCACCGCCAGCGAGACGATGAAGCAGAAGGTGGCATCCCGCAATGCCTGGTTCATCTTCACAGCCCAGATGACCAGGATATTGCCCGGCACGGACACCAAAGCGATGAGCACTTCAATGGAGATGTAAGCAGCCTGGAAGGCTGAGATGGGGTGTGCCATGATGCCCCGGTCCTCCCTGCTCCCGTAGGGTTCCTCGGTCACCTGCAAACGCACAGGGAGGTGATGAGAGAGTGGCATCGCTGACTGAGCTGCGAGAGGGACGGAGTCTGTGCGAGGGGGTGGGAAAAGCCCCTCTCCCGTCTGTGCGGTCCCCCGGGGCTCCGGGCCCCCCCCCCCCCCCCCCGAGCTCATCCCGCACCCACCTCCGTCCCGCACCCACTCCGTCCCGCACCCACTCCGTCCCGCACCCACTGCGTCCCGCACCCACTCCGTCCCGCACCCACCTCTGTCCCGCACCCACTCCGTCCCGCAGCGCGACCGCTCCCGGCGCTGAAGGAGCGGGAGCCGCCGGTCAGTCCTGGGAGCGCGGCGGAGTCCCCCGCCCCTCGGGCCACCCCGGGCCCCTCTGTCGGAGCCTTTTGGGGCTCCCTCTGTCCCCTCGCTAGATCCCCTCCCTGCCCTGCGCTGCTTTTGCAGCCGCCCGAGCCTCGAGCCCCGGCAGCCGCCGCCCGGCCCGTCTCACCTTGTCCTGCAAATCCAGGGCTTGTTTGGGGGTGCCCTCACCCCCAGAGAGCCAGCGCTGTCTCTTCGCAGGGCAAGGCGGGGCTCATGCTGGGGGCGGCCGGGGGGACCCTGCGGCCGCCGGGGACCGGGCTGGCCGCGGCCGGGGCTGCGCTCGGTCCCCGGTGCCCGACACCGCTCGGCTCCCGCTGGCGCTGCCCCCTCCCCGCCGGAGCCGAAGCATCACATGGTGCCGCCTTCCAGCCGTTAAAGAGCGACTGACCCGATTCGGGGCTCGCCGGCACCGGGAAGGGCGCGGGGGCCGGGCGGAGGCGGCAGGACCGGGCGGAGCGGGGAGAGGCGGCAGCGGCGGAGCGGCGGAGCCAGCCCCAGCCCCGGCGCTGCCGCCACCAGCCGGGCTCCGGATTTAACGCTAAGACCGGTTTTTGAGGTCGGGTGTGAACAGAGGATGGGGACGGGGAGGGGAGGGCGGAGGCAGAGACTGAGCTGGGGTGGGCGAGCAGCCGGCCCGTCCCCAGCACGGGCAGCACTGTTCGGGACTGCGCCCCAGGACGGCGTCGGGACCCCAGGTCAGACCCGAACGGCCCCAAGGAGCTCTAGTGCTCACCCGGGCTCTGGCTGGCACTGCGGCACCCAAAATCCCCGCTGGGGTGGGCGGGGGGTGAGACCCCGAAAGCACTCTTCATCCTCCGAACTGCACTGCCCGGGCTGGGGAGGGGCTGTGTCCCTGGGGCAGGGGAAGGGTCTGTCCCCACAAGGCGTGTGGAAGAATGGTGGCCCCGAACTGCTGCTGAGATTGGACCAGACACTCCTTATGGTTCTAGGAGAAGTTTGGGGGAATATGGTCACCCCCCAAGTCCCCTCTCCGGGCCGGGCAGTATAGGGAAAATGGGTCTGGGGGCTCGATCTTACTGATGAAGTTGAATCACACAGTCCAGGGACCTCCAGACGTGCACCAGGCACCTGCAAAGCTCATCTTACATAAATCACTTCCCAGAAGTGCAGCTGGTTTATCCAAATACTGCAAGGAACAGTACCTCAGACTTGAGGCAAGGAGACTCTCCCGACCCCCATCTGCACCTCTCCCCCCCCATCCTTTCTCCCTCCTCTGGTGAGACTCGGGACTGGAGCTGTCCCCTGCTCTGCTCTGCCTCGTGAGAGATGTTCCAACCCTTGGATCTGCCCCTTGGGGCTGCCATCCCCATCCAGGGTTGATTTTCCATCAGCTGCTGTCCCATGGGGTGCCTGCTCTCCCCCCTGGGCAAGTGGCCAGCAAAGAGATGGGGGTCCCAGCCTCCTAGAGCTGTCTGGGGACTGTGGCATTGGGCCACCTCTGGGCACTGGGCTGTGCCAGCAGCAGGACCAGGTGAGCTTAGATTGGTCTGAATGATCTGTTTGCTGTGCAGAGAGAAAAATAAACTGAGGCTCGCAGGCTCCAGTAAACACAGCACTATTTATGGAATGTTGGCATCCTGCAGCATCTCCTCACACCTCCTCCACTGCAGGGAAAAGTGATGCCCCCTGTGGCTGAGCATAAATCCAGAGGTAGGGGGTGGGATGGGAGTGCTCAGGATGGGCTACTGAGAGTGAAAAGAGCATTCCCAAAGAGCCCACAACCCCTTGCCCACCACCTTCCCAGGGGGAGTGCCCTTGCAATCAACCTCTGGCTGGGAGCAGGGCAGGAAAACCAGCAGGTTCCTCACGGGAGTGCAATGCGGAAGCAAAGGCAGGCAGGGCCCAGCCTAATTGTATGCAAATCTCCCAAACAGAGATTAAAACCACTCCTTTTCCTTTGTGGATTTGCAGTTTGTTCTCCCTCCCTGGATTTGTTTCCCTGAATGCTCAATTTTAGCAGCACCCCTTAAACCCCCCATGTTATGCCAGAAATGATCTGCTGGATGTGAACCTGCCAGAGGGGGTCCGAGCTCTCTAACCAGCCCAAGCAAAGTCCCAGGGCATGGGCAAAGACTGCAGAGGCTGGATGACCAAATTGATAAAGAGCCCATTCCTGATAGATAGGGATCATCAGTTCATTCTCCTGACAACAAGTTGGGGACGTGTCAAAAAAGTGTCAAGGATTCCTTAAAAAAACATGAAAAAGAATTTTCTGGTGAGCATCAAACACTGGGAAAGTTATTCAGGTCTTCCAGGCTCTTTCTGAGGTTTTAAGGAGAAAATGTCCTGTGAGCTGCAATGGATTGTGAAGATCCCTAAGTGTTGGATGATGCTGCTATGGATAAATACCAAATGGCACACACGGAGAGATGGGATGAAGTGGGACTAACAAGGGACATGGTGTGGCTTCCTGCACCAGCTCCTGTGAGCTGGGGACAGGAGCAGCCTGTGGCCGTGGCAGGAGGGGACGGTTGGTGTCTGGCTTGATGCCAGTGGGATGCACCCAAGGCTGTGGCATGTTGGGGCCGGTTGATGAGACCGAACCCTGACTGAACCCCCAGGGTTTGGCAGTAGCCAAGAAATGCTTTTCCAGGGAGACAAGTCAGGGCGTGGGGAGCTCATTTCTGTCCATCTTTCTTCAGCTTTTCTCTGGGGCATGAACTTCCCCCTCCTGTCTTGGTTTACCTACACAAAGAGCAGCTCCATGGTGCCATTCTGGGTGGTCAGGGCAGGAGAAGTCGAGGATGTCTCCACCTCTTCCATCATGGTGACCATCCCACAGCATTTCTGGTCATGGAAAGGGGCCTCTTAACTAGGAAAGTTAATTAGAAGTGTGGCTGGTGCCAGCAGCACAGGGATGTGCGCTTGGAGGGCTGATGGCTCTGAGAGACATTAATTAGGACGAGTGACCCCCTGAGTGCCACGGTCTGGTGGGTCCCCACAGGATGGCACAAGGCAAAGACAAAAGCAGCAAACAAAGGGAAATCCCGCAGCTTTTCCAAGGAGGTCTCCACTGTGCTGAGATGTTTTGGAGTGATGCTCACCCTACAGTGCTGGGGCCACCACTCTCTGTGTGCCAGTGACACAGAGCCCTGGGGACCTCCCTCAGGACACGACTGGTTTATAACTTGTGCTCAGTTTCTCTCCCATTTAATGGGATACACGGCCCTGGGAAGCCATGTGGGGAGCAAGGAGCCCCAGACTTCTGTAGGGTGGTGCATCCCTATCTGCGATTGGCAGAAGAAGCTCAGCAGCAATGACACAGCACAGAAAATATCCCAGAAAATAACTTAAATGGGGAAATCCCAGAGAGTGGATGAAGGAAAGGCTGTTTCCCTGTGGACTGCCTGTTCCCACTGAGCACATCCCACCCCTGTCACTCAGAGCAGGTTGGGAAGGGGGCTGGCAGTGCTGCCCGTGTGCTGAGGGAGAAACTGAGCCCTGAGAGGTGCCTGTGATCCATCAGCCCTGTGCTGGCATACGTATGTGCCCCAGTTCCCTCTAGCCTGGGGACATGCCACATCCACGATGCTGCAGATTCCTGCAGCAGCCAAATGGGTCAGGCCCCACTCGGATCCCGGCCAGATGCCAGCCAGATGCTGCCCACAGGCAGCTGGGTCACTGTGCCGGAGCCCTGGCACAAGAGGATATTGCCAGGCTTTTGTGCTGCCCTGTCAGGGAGGAACTGCTGAGGCGTCACTGGCTGGAAGAGAAAATCGATCCGAGCCAGCGCTGTGCCTGGCAGGGCAGCGGGGTAGGGCAGAGGTCTGTCCCAAGGTCCGCCCCCACACCCCGATCCGGGCCCTTTGCCTCGGCACTGCTGCCTCTTCCTCATCACACCGGGCTTGTTTTATCCCCAGGGAGCCCCAGGAGTGTTATCGAGCCAGGCTGAGGGCCAGGAGCTACTCCTGCCACTGCTTCCAGCCGTCTCTGTGGGGCAGGAGGAGGTTCAACCTTTCCAACCCTGCCAAGCAGTTTTGAGAACGGGTCAAACCCTTTGCCCTCTCTCCAGGGCCACCCCTGGAACAAACCCAGCACTGTTTGGCCTCTGCTTTCAGTTGCAGTAGCCTATGGAAGGGCAGGACAGTGCCTGCTGACTCCAGCTCCGCTGTGCTGTGGGGAGGGAGGAGGGAGCCCAGTGCTGTGAGGGCTCTGGAACACCCAGCAGTGATGACAGATCCTTCTGGGGCAAAGACTGGTTTGAAACAGTGACTGCTCAAGAAAGGGGGAAAAAAAAAGGCTGTGAGGGACAAAAATGTAAAAGGAAAATTGTGAGTTCTGGTTCACTACAAGGGCTGAATGAGGCTAATAATTTCTCTTGATGGATCTCAGAGATGGTAAAAGAATTTTCTGCTTGATCTTTGGGGAAATACTGGGGAGGGGATGAACAGCTGAGTGGGTGTTATGGCTGGAAGAGCTCAGGGCCACCCCCAGACCTGGGCCTGTGATGGCCTGGGGACACCTGGGGACACCTGGGACACCGTAGGGGTGGTGGAAAATGATGATTTGGGGTGAAGGAGAAAACCCGGATGAAGAAGTGACACCCACAGTGGGAAATGTCCAAGGAGGATTGGGCTGGGCTGGATCAGTGGCTCTGAGTGAGGAGGGAGAGGTGGGAAAAAAGAAACTATGGTTGCTGCTCCCCAAGGCCTTATCTCTCACTTTAGCATTTTGTCCCATAATTCTATTTTTAAATTCCCTGCTTTTAGCTTCCAGCTGTCACTTCAGCTCCCGGGTTTGGTAACGGAGCTTTTCCCCCACTCATGCTCTCCCAGACTGTAACCATCTCACCAAGAGGAAAGCTCTTCTTCCACCCAGCCCCTGCAGCCTCTAAGCCCTACACCCTGCTGCTGTCCAAATTACTGCCTTCCAACCAATTTAAGGCAAATGTTTTTATATCCATTAACTCAGGACAGCGATTCACTGAGCAGATTCTCTGTGTTGTAGGAAAAGCTGTTCAAACCCTTCCCACATGCCTAAACCTGCAGATTCCTATGGAACACGTGGAAAAATTCTTATCAGCACAGGGGATCTGCCTCCTGCCCCGCTCCACTTCTCTTCCATCTGTAATCGTTTCCCCTGTGGCCCCAGAGCAGCGCAAACACCGCTGGAGCAGCCCGAGCGCCGGCCAAAGCAGCGGCTCAGCCGATCCCCGGGGAATGGCTTGTCCAGGACGGTGACAGCGCGGCGGGACATGCGACATCCCGCAGCGCTCCCGGCAGCCGCGGGACGAGCGGGAGACGCTCCCGCAGCCCGGAGCTGGGCGCCTTCCTCCGGAACCAGGGCCAGAAGC